ATGAAAATCTATCGTTTTTACCAAAGCTGTTACTAGTAAATGGCGTGTCACCTTTAAGGTCGAATTGATAGCCTCATCCAAGTTGGTTGTCATGTATCCATATCGATATCCACCATCATATGGATTTGTCCACATTTCTTTGTTGATAAGGCTGATGTAATCGTATCATTCCTCGTTCTTTCCTCGCAACTCTTGAAGCATGAACTCAAATGTTTCAGGTAGTAGTTCGTAACCTGAGCATCAAATGTAGAACTTACTAACTTTGTTTCCATAAAAAATGAAAATGATCGAGAAATAAAAACTAGCATTTTGACATACTAATATGCACAAGTAATTGGCGCTTATCATTCTTCTTGAATCTTCCATGATAATTTGTAGCAATGTGTTGGATACAGTTTGGACATAGGGTGGTTGCCACATAAGACCCAAAGAATCCATTTTTGTTTTTATCCCAGCTCCGCGATCTGAAATGACATAGATTTTTCCCCTCGTGAATATGTAAGCGTAAGTTTCTGAGGAAAAAAAACCCAAAAATATGTATCTTCTCCTTCAACAAGGGTAAAAGAAACTGGAAGTATGTTGCGATTACCATCTTGGACTACTGTCAATAGTAAAACTTGTTTGTATTTTCCATACAAGAATGTCCCGTCGATTTGGACCACGGGCTTGTAATATTTCACAGTATTAATGCACTATGGGTAAGTCCAAAAACCCCTGTAGAATTGACATCGATTGCGAAGTACTCGATCATTGTGGTATACAAGGCAAGTTTCGAAGTCAATAATTATCCCATGATTCAATCTGCGTACTACCCTAAACCAACTTGGTCGTTCGTTGTAAGATGCATCTCATTCACCGTGAAGTTTTTTAATGGCATTTTGCTTTGCCTTTTATGCTTTCTTGTATGAAACGGTATACCTATAATACGATTGTATAGCTGAAATCAACACAACAATAGTAATATGAGAGCTTTCTTTTACCATGGCCATGATGGCTTGACATACAATATCGGAGTCCAAGTTAGGATGATCCTAGTTGATCCCTCCAGCACAACATGTGTGAGGACCGTTGTATATCGTTAGTTCCCATATATTATTTGTCCTCTTCCTTTTCGATATGTGAACCATCCAATTGCATCATTTATCACGTTGGACACAGTGCCAGACATACTTTTCAGTGGTAGAATGGTCAACTCTGGACTGAACAAAATTACGACTGTTGTAATTCTTAATTGCCATCATCATTTAATTTTTTGCATAGAAACTTCATTCCTTTATATAACTCACCATCATTGACTGATGAGTTAAATATGTAGTCACCGACATTAGGCATATCCATAAATTATAGCTTGTACATTGCATCGTAGTTAGTTTCATACATGTGTGCTGGAGGTTCAGTGTGTACCGTATTTCTGGAACTTCATCTACATCATCATCATCGGAGTCTATGTTGAATTGCGGTGATTCTAGCTGAACGAATAGTTTAGTCTCAGCACCATCCCCACCTGGCGCACAAAGAGGTTCTTCTAGTGGAGATGAGGGTTCTCCCACGATGTCGACATTTAGGTCGAACAAGCTGGTAGTTGCATGTCTTCCCTTTGACCTTGAAGGCATCTCGACATTAAGGTCGAAGAAACTCGCAGTTGAATGCCTCCCCCTGGAGCTTGAAGGTCTCGTGTCAAATTGGCAGATGAATGACTTCCCCTTGAACTAGACGCGATGTTGACATACGAATTGTTTGTGAAGCCACCTCGGTACAGATCGTAAGAAGTTGTTAATGAATATCTCCTCATTGAACTTGATGGGATGTCATCATGATGTAGATTTCCCATTAACGAGTTAAATCATTACATATTACTTGAGTTGGGATGTCAACTTGATCAGCTTGTTGAGCCAGCCCATAGTGGGAGCATAATGGCATACCACGAACAGCGCGTGCTTCAATAAATTTCGTATACATCTCTGTATCGACGTCTGAATAATGATTTTGAGAATCAACCATCATAACAACATCGTCATCGTTGGATAGTTCGAACGTTGTATAAGTTAATGGAAATACTGCGGTTGAAAATTTGTACTGAAGTGAGGACAATCTTCTAGTACTTCCAACATGAACTTTCCTTGAAATTTTCGTTATCAGCTCCTCAAAAGTTATGTTTCTCTTGAAGGATATTTTGACAGAATGATTTGATGCGAAGACGACGTCGGTTTCATCTTCCCAAATTTATCCATCATAGTAAACAATAGTTGAAATACGCGTCATTCTGAGAGTTTGAATGATTAAGAGTCTTATATTTGCAAAAATAATAGCTGAAATACGCCTAATTAAATAAATAGTATATGAATTAAAATATAAACTAATAAAAAAATTAAAAATTTTCACAGTAATTTAAATAATATATTTTATATTGTTACCATATCGGCAAAAATATCTTGAGGTATGATCCCACTTTCCAATTTTGCAACCGCAAAAAATAATACAAAATAATTAGTACAATAATTTTTTTTTCAAATATTCATATATAAAATAAATATAATATAATAAAAAACAATTTTACTTACAACAAAAATAGAAGGAATTGATGAAGTAAAAATAGAATGAATTGATGTGATGATGTTTGCATAGAAGAGGTGTTATTTATAGGGGAGGGGAGAGTGTAAAGGTCGAGCTTTCGATGGAATCAATAGTGAAAGACACATGTCAGAAACCCCACAAAGGCGCGGATAGAGATCTGCGTCTGTCCTTACGTAGCACCAGCTCGGATAATACTCGGATTTGAATCCACACCCTAAATAGTTATTAAGATTTTTGTTACATAATATATCCTAGGTCAACATGCTTAATCTTTGTTAACCAATATCACTAAATAGTGATCACTCATATTTTTGTTATCGTAATATCCTACGTCAACATGCTTTATCTTTATTTATTTTTAATTTTGAAAATTCAAATCTAATTATTTAAAAGAGTATTGATGGATGGTGGGGGAAATCATACATTGATTGAGGTTAGGATGATTTCAAATGACTCGTCATTGGGATATAAATAGGCAAATTAAAGCAATAATGTGTGAGCTGGTCTTTCCCTTTTGGGTCTACAAACGTATTCCAAACAATATTTCCATGATTGAATGTATAACCACAAATCTAATCAAAATGTCACACTTTTAGATTTTGTTGCCAAATATTTGGTATAACAAAATGTTGTGTTTAACATAATTGTCCTTTGCTTTCTATGTTTGAGTTAGATTTTCTCGACACGCGTGTTCAAATTATGATTTTTATTTTAAATTATTTCTTAGACTTTTAAAATTTTTAATTTCATTTTCAAAACTTATGACTCACATTTTAAATTGATTTTCAAACTTTTGAATATCTCAACAGTGTCGGAGATATGTAAGAGCTGGGGAGCCACTGCCCTCCCCACAAATTTTTTATTATTAAAGAATATAAGGACAATTACCTATTTATATCTTTAAATTTTGATTTATTTTTATTTTGCCCCCCTTTTTTTTGTTGTTAATTATACTTTACCCCCTTGAACAAAAATCCTGACTATTTCCCTGCGTCTCAAATTCATCTTTAAACTATGACCCTCATTTTAAATTGGTCTTTAAAATTTTAAATGTTCCAATAACACCCCAAAAAATCATTCAAAAGTTTGGGGTTGAATTTGAAACGTTCAAAATATTAGGAACAATATAGAATGATGATCATAATTTTGGGATGAATTTAAAATTTTCAAAAGTTTGAGAATCAATTTAGAATAAGAATCATAGTTTAATGATGAAATTATAATGGCTAAAGTTTAGGGGAAAAAGTGGCTAACATAAAATTTAAATACATTTACAAATAAGCGGATCAATTTTTAATTAAATGTTTTTTTTGGAAAGGGGGCGTTTTGTATATTATAAATAAGCAGAAACCACACAAAACGCAAAAATAGAATTGAGTCACTCAAATATAGAAACGAGTCTCGTTGAAAAACTTTTCTAAATCTAAATCGAGAAAAAGAGTGCACCATGAAAATTTTCGAAAGTTTTTTCGACATAATATTCCGATCGAAATAACCCAAGAAAGACAACCCAACTCGCACTTGCCAACCGGAAAAACCACAAACAGATATGGATTCGAGTTTCACACTTTATGATTTATGTGTGGATTCTCGTCGCATTTTTTATGAATTTTATTTAAATTTATTTTATTTTTATTTAATTTTATGTTATAATATTTGATTCTTACTATAGATCCCTCACATTATATTTGTAGCTATACCTATACCTATACCTCTTTAAAAACATTTACAATTAAATTAACTCGATCCAAATTTTATTAGTTTGAGTCAATTATGTTCATCATTTTTTTAAAATGCAAATCTTTGTCATAAAACATCTTTGATTTTTTTTCCAATAATTCGAAATTTAATATTTATTATTTGATTAAAATCAAATTCAATTCAAATAATAAACATTATAACAATATATAAAATCAAATTTAATTATAATAAAAATGAAAACTCAATTGAATTTACTAATAATGAAATCAACCACTACAATTTGCATCGATTTACTTGTTTATTTGACCACTTTTCTCTTGAAAATGAACACAAGAAAAAGACAGAAGCTTGCAAAGACTGCAATCCCATAACTCATCGATAAGAAACCCTTTGTCAATCTCTACCTGGATTTTCACTTATTTTGCTGTTTAAACTTTTTTTTGTCAATACACGTGTCTGCCCGGAATTCAATTTTCCGATCAAAATGACAGAATCAAAACTTTCTGTACATGAAATGAGAAAAGTTGGTCCCTTGGAAAACATGAAGCACCAAGTGTATGCATTAACGAGTTCTGTCTAGTTCTTTTGAATGATTCTTAATGATGCAACTTTTGAGCTGCATCTTGGAGGCTTAAACAGATGTAACTAAACACGATAATCATTTATTCCGTTGCGCATAATTCGGTGTCATCTATGCAACAGTAGTACCAGTTACGTCGATTAAAAAAAAAATTCTTGAGAACAGAAAAGCTGAAACACAACAAGCTTCTTATTTCATCTTTTGTTCTGTGAAAAGAACATGACGATTTACCCGGGGATCATACTTGCGGAACTCGAGCTTCTCAGCCACTTTCTTAGCACTTTTTCTCTTCACATAGAAGAATCCAGTCCCAGCTGCCGAGACAAGACGGATAAACATAAACGTCTTTTTCTTCTTGTCACCCATTTCTGAATATACACGAGAAAACAAGATCGAATCAAAAGAAATGGACACAATTTAAACATTGATCCTACCATTATGAGTCCACAGTTCAAGATGCACACAATTTAAACATGTCATCAAGCAAGCAACCACCAACAGTCCAAATATATGCCATGAACATCAAATAGGTCCAAAGATGACACATAAATCACTCCAAATCATTATATCCCGCAGCACTGTAAAAGTTTCTATGGGTTCAATGACCCCTCTAGGCCACAAAATCCAGTCAATTTGAGCCAGGCCTGGACAATTTCTTTCGCTCAACTGACATTTTCCCCTCATTAATATCTTAATAATGGAGACTCGCATTAGTTTAAATTGTGTTCCCTTGATTGGTGATGGATTTTGAGGCTAAAGTTGTTGATTTACTAGCTTTGATGACCATATTGGATGTTTTCCAAAAGTGCGACGCAAAGTTACTGGACTCTATTATTTTTCTCTCCCGCAAGAGCCCCCGGCTAAGCTCATGGCTTGCACAAAGCTGGTCTGTTGCTGCAACTCGACATCCAAACTGATGCAGCCAACCAGTCCAGCTGTTAATAAATCTACTTGTTGGCATTTGGCCTTTGGAACTAGCATTGATACTACTCCACAGAGCCCGTTTGCCTTAAATTAACCAGGTCCCTCAAAGTATTACCTCATAATAGTGCAACGTACAGTACTCAGTAAATTTGTTCTAACTAATATATAACTCCTCTAAGTTGAGCTTGTAATACCACAATTGAGGTTCCTCCAAGTGGAAAGCCTCTAGATTGAGTTGATTTGCTGCAGGTGTTAATTGGTTGGCAAAAAACTGTTCACACCAATGAAGCAAAATCATAGGATCTTCAGACTCGTCATAAGTTTGAAACTCTAACTCGGTGAAGCGAGGTACTGTTACTCCAGCATGACTGCCACTGCTAAGCTTATCACTAGCCATCTGGAATACTTGTCTACCTTTGACGCAACTGCCTAGAACCAGAATTATCAGTTTCTCCTTAATTTTTGCTTATTTCATTAGTAAGAAATTACTTCTCTTAAAAAGAGGTTTATGATGTATATCCTAAGAAATTACGAGAAATAGGAAAGACTACTAGTTCATAGGGATATTAGTAATTAATAGGGATTCTTTAAAGAAGAATCTTTATTTAGGGGTTGTTTGTTTATTTCAGAATAATTAAACGTTGAATGATTCAAAGGCTCTGAATGAATTAACTCTGAATGTGACATGCTATTTGATAATGACTCTGAATCATTCAGAATGTACTTCTGTGCTGAATCATTCAACACTGTTTTGCTGAATTAGTCAACACTGAATCATTCAGAAATGCGAAACAAACGCGTTGAATGCTTCCATGAAGAGGCAAACAAATAGCCCCTTAGTTAATATTCTGCTTAAGCTAAGTTCCAGCTAATTTCTTCACTTGCCACTATAAGCGTCCACAACATATATATACTTAAGATAATAAAATCTAAAGGGTGATCAAACTTATCTACAAAACATGCAAATTTATCCTTTTATTTTATTTACGATTTTAATAATTTCCTAATGATCCTATGTCTACTTTGGAATGCTAAAATTTGGAGAAGTGTATCATCCCTTCTTACTAATAAAGGCACAACTAGTAGAAAAAGTTAGAAAAACAAAATCGAAAGATTACAAAAGAACTTCAATCATATGGTAAATTACCTACAAAAGCAAGGTTTATGGGTTGGTGAATGAATATAGATGGTTGCTGCATTTTTGCCAGCCTGATACCGAAACGAGAAATCGTTTGTTTAGTGAATGTTCATGAGAAACATATCCGGCAATGTGTACTGAGTTTGTATGGAGTGACAAGACAGCCATTAAGTTGGCATCAAGAGTTACAGTGGATGATCACAGAGTTATAAGGTGAATCTCTCATCACTATAATTCTTCGTTTGTCATGGAATGCTATGGTTTATTGGGCGTGGAGAGAGAAATAGCTTGTTACATAGTGGCCAGTCGAAGTCAGGGCAAGAATTGGTCGGATTGATAAAAGAAACCATTAGTATCAGGCTAACAAAGAAGAGAATTAATATGAATGCTACGGTAAATATTAATCTTTGTAAAGTTCGGAACATGAGATAGATGTATAGTTTAATGCGTTGGTGATATTGTACAGACTTGTAATATTGTTGAACCATAGCCGATTTCTTCTTTCTTGATTAGTGAAATATAAAGCTTATCCACACAAAAAAAAGAAAGGAAATTCAATCAGGAAGGCATTCTTTGCACCAATCGCCTTACAAAGAAATGAACCTCTAGGAGCACCCACACAATCAAATGAGCCTCACCCAAAAGAGTATAATGTTCTTTCGATGCAAAGTGTTACAAAACCGACTCTCGAGAAAAGTAGAAAAGATTACTCACCCTATTGCTAATCAAATACCAATTTTAAAGTTCACAAGCTTCAGCTAATGAAGTCTAGAATGCAAAGGACATCACTCAATAATCAGACATTTACTTCATTATATCCATCCCACCCGAGCAACTTTCGTGAGAGTCGGCAATGCCGACGTCCTACTGATTTCAGAACAGAAACAGGTTCCGGAAATAACTCAGCGTTGATAACCAATCACCAAAACATATATAGTCATATATAGAACAGAGAACAATCACTCCAATAGAAAGGAAAACTCCCTTCGCAAAAATGAAATGGAAAAGAAAAATAGAATCTTTTCCCCTAAATTCAAACACTTGACATTTCCAGGCTAAAATCAATTAGAAGATCTCTAAAAATTTGCAATAAATTCTACACTAACTCCAGATCAACGCCATCATAAAAATATATATAAACCCAGCAAAGAAGAGAGATCAAGGAGTAATCAAACAAAAAGATTTTAAAATACCGATTATTCGTCTCGGAAAATGATTGTTTTGCTGATTAGCTGAAGAAGGGAAACAAGCAAAGATACTGAAGACAAGGGTTTTGGGGGCTTAAAGACATAAAACCTCGGTTGAATTACGAAAATACCCTCCGAAGCAAAATAGAATTACGAACCAACTCCACATCTGCATATTGTTTTAAGCAGAGCCCCAGAATCTTCACCGCCCACGACAATTCTCTCTGTTTAAGCAAAAACCCACTGATTTATTAAGGTAAAAGATTGATTCCCAATTAATTTTTTTGGATAAGTTTTGAAAATTTGATATCTTTTTCTTTATTAGTGCAGAAAGAGACGATCTTTATTCTGAGTTCGGCGGTGTAAAATGGCGACGAAAGTTGTGGATGCGGCGGGGGAACCGATCCCAACATCGTCGGTGCTGATGTCATCAGCAAAGCACATTGAAATCAAATGCATGTCCGAAAACGTGGAGTTCCTCAAGTGTAAGAAGAAAGATCCCAACCCTGAGAAATGTCTCGATAAGGGCAGACAAGCTACCCGATGTGCGCTTGGAGTGTAAGCTTTTTTATTTTCAATTTCTTTGTCGGCGTTTATCAAAATGTTTAGAATTAGGGAATGATGGAATCAGGAAAGAATTAAACTGGAACGTGAGATTAAGTAGGGAATTACGTGATAATAAAGACTAGGGTTTACAATTTCTTCAACGGAAATGTTGCGCTGTTAGATAATTTGGATTTGGTGTTCTTTTTGGGCGTTTTATGCAATGAAAGTGTGGCTAAAAGTATGAAGATCGGTACTTCTTCATAAAATTATCCTTTTTTTTCACATATATTTGTGCATAGATACTGGTATATGATCATCCAAATTCACGTAAAAGCATTTTGAAAGCCGAATATGGCTCATCTCTTCTTGTGGGAAATGAGCATCTCTCTGGTTAAGCTGCGAAAACAAGTTGTTTCGACCAATTTAACATTGGTGTCATGTTGTTGGTTGATCTGAACTTGTTTTATGATTAGCAGTCGAAACTTAAAACGAGTCCGTGTTGGTCTGGGCATGATTAGGCAAAATAGATTCAAGTTTAGCCAAGCCATAGAATTGGATGTTTGTCCTTCCTATTTATGGGTTTGAATACGAGTAAGATCTAGTTACTGAAAAGCAACCGAATTTTATTAGGTTTTGGCCTCTTCTTTGTCTTTGATTGTTACAATGGGGCTTCCGAGTTTGTAGGATACCAGCTATTTGCCACTTTCTATTACTATGGATATCCATGTTTTGTGGTTTAAACAAAGGCCCTGAATACTAAATGTTTTTGGGGTCAAATTCTACATTAGATCCTTGCACTATGCTTTTTTAGCTGAGTTACTCCATTCACCATTATTTGATCATTTCTAGTCTTTTCTTTGGCATAATACCAACAAATACCCTTAAAGTTTGACTAAATAGTCATTTTGGGTCATATTCTTTTAATTTGGAGCAATTTGGCCCCTAACGTTTCGTTATAAGACTAAAAGCCTCCTAACGTTTGACTAAATAATCACTTTAATCCTTATTTTTTTTAGCATTTTGGCCTCCTATGTTTCATTTTAGGGGGTAAAAGACCCTTAAGTAGGATTCTATCCACATGGGGGCCTTTTTGCCCCAAAATGAAATGTTGGAGGCCAAAATGTTTCCCAAAAATGAATATGGACCAAAATGACTATTTGATCAAATGTTAGAGAATTTTTTTGTCATTATGCTTGTATTTTTAACTACACATTTTCAGTCTCGATGCCAACTCTTATTTTTAATTCCATTGGATGGTATGAGGAGGCCACCGTGTGGATTAGTATTATGATTTTGTATTTATGGAATGTTGAACTGATGTGTGGTGCAGGCTAAAAGATGTGTATGAGAGATGCAAAGATCCCATGGAAGCATATGTGGGATGTATGTATTACCACACAAATGAGTTCGATTTGTGTCGCAAAGAGCAGCAAGCCTTTGAGAAAGCTTGCCCTTTGGACTGACCAGTCTTGCCTTGCATGCTTCATTTATTAATAAGTTTGAGTCCTACAGAAACTGTCCCTATCCCATGTTTTCGTCATTGTCTCCCTCTTTTTGTATGGATAAAAGACTCATTCATTCATGCTGTTTTGTATCAGCTGATGAAGAAAATATATGCTTCGGTTCGGCGGACATAACTGTATTGATACGAAATAAATAGACCTATCTTGCTTTTCAGCTCTTGGCTTTTTTGCTTCTTTATAAACCTTTTTTATTTAAATTGGAAGGTAATTATTTTTTTAATAGTCTAGGCTAATTATATTTGTTTAAATTTTTTTAACCGATTGATAATGTATACACACCCTACAAAAAAACTGTTCGAATCTAAAATTTTTAGAGAGAACAACATTCATTTTTATCACTGAGTTTGAGTCTGAGATCACTTGAAAATTCATTTGGAAGGTAATTATTGTGATCAAGTTTGCCTATGAATTATATAAAATATGTTCAAAGTTGGTTTTGTAATTCAATTATAATATACTTAAGAGAAAATAACTTCAGTGACTAAAAATGCCTTATAATATACGATTTTAACCAATTTTTTTTGGATTTGTCAAAATGACTAACTAAATCGCAATGCGATCGATAATTCGCAACGCGATCTCTGGTATCGCAAATCAGTTTCCAGATTCGCAACGCGAACTTCGACTATCGCATTGCGATTGTTCAAATTCGTTGCGATTGTCGAAGTTCGCGTTGCGATTTTCCAAATTCGTTGCGATAGTCCAAATTCGCGTTGCGATTTTCTAAATTCGTTACGATAGTCGAAGTTCGCGTTACGATTTATTCTAAATAAAATTTTGTTGCCAGCTTTGAAGGTTCATCTTTAATGTCTTGTATGAGTTTATGAAGGAACTTCGCTGCCTACAACTCCACATTATTTGAAGAAGACGCCATCTCCTCCTATGATCTACAAAATTAATAGGCAATAATCAAGTAAAAATTATCAGTCCCAAACTATCAGATTTAGTCGCTGCGTTTTCAAACCAATTTTGCCCTAACAAGAGTAATTTCCAACAGTAATCTAACTCCTCGTACTTATCAAATTTCCAATCCCAATGTATTCATAACTAAAACAAAAAGAAACACTGATAAAAACCGGTTACTTAAGATTTCATAGTTCAGTAACACATTTCTCAAGGAAGAATATCTAAAGCTCAAAATTAGCAAATTAAGCTCCCGAACTATCCTATCGGACACAGCAATGCGAGTTAGATAAAAATTTGTTTGTTTCTCGAGAAAATGTTCGTATTTTCACGGAAAAACTAGTTTAGCGGCGAAAAAAAAGAAGCAACCCTAGACGAAGAGAAATGGTCAAATACAGAAAAAAGAGAAATTACCTGATCCAAGATCAAAGAGCTTAGAGGTCAGCTACATGGAAAGAGTGGCTCGTAGAAGAAACTACTTTAATAAAGAAAAAAAAAGTAACGAAAAATACACAGATGCAGGAAAGTCTGGAAAAACAAAGTGCATAAAATGGGGCTATTCCCAAACACATTCCTTTTAACTCGTAGGTGCGGGATTTTTTTTCCTTCTTTTTTCAGAATTACATATTTACCCTCCTAGATCCTTTATTGTATTTGGATCTTGGGACAAAGGCCCATGGATTTACGGAGTTATACCCATTATCAAATTGTTTTATTCATTTATGGTTATTCTTTTAGGGTTAATTCTACCAAATTCCATTTAATTATAGATTAAATTTTAAATTGATCCTTAAACTTCAAAATATTTTGATTGGATATCCGAATGAAAGTTCCATTTCCTTTCTTTCAAAAAACTTAAAGTATCATTTTTAGCTAGGTTCTTCCATTAATCTAGCTATCACATTTTTCATTGAAGCGACTTCTTTGTTAATATTAATGTACAATGGATTATAAATAGAGAAAATAACCTTAGTGACCAAAAATGCCTTATAATATACGCTTTTAACCAACTTTTTTTGGATTTTCCAAAATGACCAACTAAATCGCAATGCGATCGATAATTCGCAACGCGATCTCCGGTATCGCAAATCAGTTTCCAGATTCTCAACGCGAACTTCGACTATCGCAATGCGAACTTCGACTATCGCAATGCGAACTTGGACTATCGCAATGCGAATATGTAAATCGCAATGTGATAGTCGACTATCGCAATGCGAACTTAGACTATCGCAACGCGAACTTCGACTATCGCAATGTGAATATGTAAATCGTAATGCGATAGTCGACTATCGCAATGCGAATATGTAAATCGCAATGCGATAGCCGACTATCGTAATGCGAATATGTAAATCGCAATGCGATAGTCGAAGTTCGCGTTGCGATAGCCCAAGTTCGCATTGCGATAGTCGACTATCGCATTGCGATTTACATATTCGCATTGCGATAGTCCAAGTTCGCATTGCGATAGTCGAAGTTCGCGTTGCGATTTATTCCAAATTCGTTGCGATAGTCCAAAATCGCAACGAATGGTGATATTGCATTTGTTTCTTAAGAATTTTCTCTAAAAAGATAGTATTCGCGCGGACGTGTCGAAGACACGCATTACCATGACCACGACCCCGACCCGACCCGAGACGAACGGCGGCGACGGCGCGCGAGAGTCGCCCTTGTTCTCTATCACTCAACAAAGAAGTGGGAAAGCCAAGCCTTAAAAACCATTCCCAATAGTGTTTCCAATACTATGTGGGATTGAGCATTACCAACACTTGTTCCCAATACTATGTGGGATTGAGCCTTAAATAGTGATATTGAATGTTTTGCTTAAAATTGCAATAATTGTGATTGATTGTAGATTGACTTTTAATTATGACATATTTAATCGTATAATACTAATGTAATTGGTTGTTGATTCAGTTGTTTTAAGGTGCATGATTGTTAATTGTTTCCTGAATAATCAAATTGTATTGGAAACAAATGTTGGTAATGCTCAATCCCACATAGTATTAGAAACACTATTGGGAATGGTATTTAAGGCTTGGCTTTCCCACTTCCTTGTTGAGTGATAGAGAACAAGGGGGACTCTCGCGCGCCGCCGCCGTCTCGTCTCGGGTCGTGGTCGTGGTAATACGTGTCTTCGACACGTCAGCGCGAATACTATCTTTTTAGAGAAAATTCTTAAGAATTTGGAATAAATCGCAACACGAACTTGGACTATCGCAATGCGATAGTCGAAGTTCGCGTTGCGAATCTGGAAACTGATTTGCGATACCAGAGATCGCGTTGCGAATTATCGATCGCATTGCGATTTAGTTGGTCATTTTGGCAAATCCAAAAAAAGTTGGTTAAAATCGTATATTATAAGGCATTTTTGGTCACTGAGGTTATTTTCTCTATACTTAATAAAATTATATTGATGGATACTGTCATCAATGAATCTAGGAAGACGTTTGAGTGTATGTAACATTATATGATATATCATAATAAATAAATTGAACTTTTAATATTAAGTTGAAGATTTTTTTAATTAAAATTCATAAGAAAACGTGTTTGTTTTTCTATTATTTCTATTTTATAAAATTTTTATACAAATAATTTAATATATTTTCTCATATTATAGTATTACATTATATATTTTATCTTTATAGGATAGACTTATATTAAATTTAGAGCTTGAATGAAATATAAGAATTTTAAGATAAATCTTTAATTTTGCCCACAACTCATTAATATATTATTTTATGTTATTTTACAAAAGATTCTAGATGTGTCCCTTTACGAGTTAAGACAATCTCCTCCGATTTAGAGCCGGATCAATATCCTTGCATTGAAAATAGATTGAATGATTCGACAAACAGAAGGGCCTACCATTTCTCAATGCGGTTGATAAAATCCAGCGTGAAGGCGGACGCACTACAGCAAAAGTGGCTTATTGCGGCGTTTTTTTTACTTATAGCGGCGTTTGAAAAACACCGCTAAAAACACATACGGCGTAAAAAAAACGCCGCTAAAAGCGCCGCTAAAGTTTGCGACGTTTTTCAACAAAAAAATGCCGCAATAGGTTACAATATATAGCGGCGATTGTTCAACAAACGCCGCAAAAGGTATTGATATTTAGCGGCGTTTATCATTAAAACGCCGCAATAGGTGTTGATATTTAACGGCATTTGGCAGACAAACGCCGCAATAGTCGTTGATGTTTAGCGGCGTTTTCTTCAAAAACGCCGCAGTAGATTTTTATTTTTACCGGCGTTTTCCTACAAACGCCGCAGAATATGTCTTGAGATTTTGCAACGTTTTTATCAAAAACGCCGCTAACTGTATGGTATATTGCAGTATTTTTGTTACAAACGCCGCTAAATAACACAGAATTTAACAATTCTAAAAATTATACTTAATACCCCAAATCTGTTTTTTCAACCTGTTCCATTATCCAACAAACAAAACAGCAATAACATCAAATCCAATATAATAAATAAAAGTTTTCATTAACGTAATATAAGTTAAGTTAAACACGGTTCAGTAACATTAACATAATGCTCATAACATAAATGAGGCTACGATGGTGGATTCTGAGGTTGCGTTTTTTGTATCATCAGCATCATATCATTGAGTCGTTTTTCAAATTCTTTACATCTCTGCTGATATATTACTTCTCTCTGTTCTGCCGCTGCCTCTCTCTGTGCTGCCGCTGCTTCTCTCTCTGCTTCCGCTGCTGCTCTAGCTACTTCCGCTGCTGCTCTCTCTGTTTCCCTTGCTTCATTTTCCGCTTTCAAGTTAGCCATTTGTTGATCCATCTCAGCCAATTTTTCTTTTAAACGACCAACTTCTAATTGGGAAGATCGAGACTGTGATGACATGTACTGTGATGAACTGGATCCAAAATATTTGGTGGGAGTAACGAATGATCCTTGACAGCGCACCCGACCATATCTTTCAGGACCCAAAACGTCATTAATAGCTTGGTTTTCAATGTCATCATCATTAACAATACCTTGACTCGAAGCAGTAGCATGATACTCTGCCCTTTTCTCCCTCAATTTTTCCTAATAATAAAGTGAATAATTAATTAAAATAAAAAATGTCATGGTACAAATATAAATAAAGTCAGGTAAATTTAAAACATCTACCCAATAAAC